AGGTTTAAAGTGTAACTGTTGTATTTTTTGTCACTTAGTCATACAGCAGAGATTTAATTAGCAGCTGCATAAATGTTTTCGACTCAGCTCTACGTGCCTCTGAACAATGTCAGTGTTTCAGCGAAGTGTTTCTGTAAAAAAACAGCCGGGTTATCTCACACCTGCTGGCTTCTCAGTGTGTGTGCGTGTGTGTGAGTTTGTGCCACTGAGACATGTGAAGAATGTCAGCATGATGTAACACACACACAATCGCCAAAGTGGTGATGGATCAGTGGAGAATTCCTGGTTCTGACGTGCAGATGGTGAAGAAGTGCAGACAGATAAGACAGACTGTTAACTGAGTCACAACACGGCGTCTCAGACTCCGCTGTGATGTCAGGACCCGGCCCGCTGCTTCAGTCTTCATCGGTTCTGATGTGCAGCTGATAAGAGAGGTGACATCCCTGTGATTATTGTTCACACTCACTTTGTCTTTGACACCAGAAATGAGGAGGACACTTTTTAACCACCAGAGGGAGACAAACTCCACCATCTCACCCAGGGCCGTGCAGAGACCACTAAAGGTGCAGGTGCTCAAAGTAAAAAAAGGGGCACAAACTGTACCGATGGCACCACATTGTAGGGTGGAATATAAGCAAGAAAAGTAAGGATGGAGATATACAACTGAACCAAATCTAGGGAAAACTAAAATATCCACACCATCATACATACGTGTTAAACATTTATTTATTTTCACTCTGCAGGACTCCTTTCATTATAGTGAAGTATTGAGGTATTTGAAACCTGCACATGAGCAACAAATGTCAAATAGAGAGTTAGACCTCCTGACAGATTTTGATCTTACACACAATCCTCCAAGCAAAAGTCTGTATTAGTCACATGATCCAACTAGAGGGGCTGCAGAATACTGTTGGCTGTGGGGAAAGCCAGAATGCAGGGCAGAGATAACAGCACCTGCAGACGGGAGGAGGATGGGGCAACAGAGCAGGTTGGGAGATGGTTATTTAATTTTACTTATTGTTTTTTTTTTATGTCCCGGGGCTCTGAGATGTAAAATAAACTTAAAGCTGACTTTAAAAGAAAATCAACCCGTATACCTGCGAAATGGATCAAGCTAAAGACAAATGACGTAACCTACACCTGCTGCCTATAAGAACACAAATAATGCAATACAATAGTCAARTATTTAAACATTATTATTATTATTGAAACTCTATAGTGGAATATTTTTAAATTGTCTTTGTCTTCATTAATCTTTATGCTCGCAGACTTCAGTCAAACACTGTTCAAGATTTACAGCTCTATATGTTTTGTTTACCTTTTTGTTGCCTTGGTAATGGCTAACAGCTCGATTTCAAACCTGCCTCTTTGCAGCAGAGAAGCCAGCGGGGATCCAAACTTGTGACTGTGGGACGATAGTCACAAGCCGTCTGCAGGAGTTATTTTGGATGGGATTTTGGAAAGAAGCTGCAGGGGTGAGGACATTTATTTCAGAAGTGATGAGGGCGGTGAAGTGCAAACACAATAAATATCACAGCACCACACATTCCTGTGTAGGGTTTGATTTTGTAAGCTAGAAAACAATGTAACTGCAAACTTTTCTGCATGTGTATGTATGTATGTATGTATG